TCTTATACAAGCTTTACGAAAGAAATAATAAGCCAATATAATGATAAGACAATCAATAGACAGAGTATGATCCCACTTTCAGCAACCAAATCCCAGCAGGCAGCAGCAACTTATAATGTTGAAAGCAACTTGGAACAAGGCACCATAACAGTGCATGCAACTCAGCTTCCTCATTCCTCTGCAGCATTGGCAGTAATTAAATCCACACTGAGATTAAGAACCTGAGCATGAAACGAGAGTTAATAGCAATGTCGATTCCATATATAGCAGGAAAAGTGACAAACAAATTAACAAGTCGGACCCTGGTTGCTTTATGCAATCAACCCTAAATGCAGATAGGAGATCGTGTTCAGTTTTGAAGTTTAGAATCTGGTTGAAACAACAACATTTAGCTGTTGAGTTTTCAAGGCTTAGTTATATGAATGGGTCATCTGGTTATATGAATCACACATTGCTTTAAATGGAATGCTTGATTTTCAACACCTGGAATTAGTTTTAATTGGTTTTTTTGGAAGTTAGGGTTTAGTTTTGCGGAAGTTTCATCTGCAGTTGTTTGACAACATTTGAGGCCAGAAATTCCTATATGTTGCCCAAGTTCATTGGCAAGTGTCATGCGAAAATGTTGGGATGCAAATCCGCCCTAAGATGGACGAGGCAGTTAGGCTGCTTGAAGCAATAGATACAAGCAAAGATCGTGGCATGTTACCTGAAGATCAATCAACTGGCTGCTTGTGTTTCAATCCAGCTCGAGGTCCATAACTCCTTTAACCTTCCAGTTCCACCGCTCATTTATACTCACATTATTGAAGCGATTCACTAGATCATAGTTTTCTCCAGCACATGAACAAAAAACTTTGAAGCCAGAGAATTTCTTATTCTAGTTAATTTTTTACATGTTTCAGCTTATTGAATGTTAGCTTTTTATTTCTGTAATTATTATTGTTGCACGGAATTATGGAATTTGGAAATGTCGGACCTCCATATCTATTTTGTATATCATTCCGTGAGATACTAGTGATTTTGGTTTTTTGGTATGCTTGACGGCAAGAGGGAAACCCCGTGGAGGAATTGTAAGTCGTGTGTAGTATTGCAATTTTAGTAGTGGCTGCAGCAGTGGGGGCGATTGAGAAGACAGGAAGGTGGTGTTTTCATGTAATTGGCAATATCGTCAATTATTAGTGTGGGATGTGTTGATATTATGGTGGTTTCTATTGTGAGACAGCAGTGATGATGTTGAGAATAACGCCAGGGAGATAGTACGAAATCCATGATTCTGAAAACCATCTCTCTTATTTGTTGCTGTATCTTTTGGAAAAATGAGAGAAGAATAAAGAAAAAAATTTTACTGATATTTTTTTTGAATAATTTGATGGCAATCATGTGATGTATCAAACACCAAATATTACTGTAAATTTATCATTCATTGAAAGAGGAGAGCAAGCATGAGCTGATCAAACATTTATGATTAATTTGCGAGATCAAATTACAAATAAATTGATTAGTACTTGAGATTTTATTTATTTTATGCATGATATGACAATTAATATTATTTTAGACCATGTTTAATCTTTTATTAATAATCATTTTATTGAATTTTTATTTATTTATAAACACAAACACATCTATGTATATATTTTTATTTGTCTTAAAAAATATCATGTTACAATTACAAATTTAAAATTGTCATGTATATAATCTTAATATGTTTAATAACGAGTACTTAACTAATAATCTTATTATATTCAATACTTAATTTTCATTAAATACCAAATAGCATATCAAGAATATATTTAGTACTTAGGCTCCATTTATTTAGCAAAAAACAACTTCCATAGGAAAATCGATTCTCGAAGAAGCTATTTTCCAAGAAATTGTTTTCTAAAAAAATATTTTCTACTATTTGGCAATTACATGAAAAAACTACTGAAAAATATATTTTAATGTTTGTTTGATAAAGAAAATTAAAATGTAAAAACGAGTATATGATTGTTACATCGACAAGTTTTGAGAAAATTTCAAAAAAAAAACATATTTACAATTTCACGAGTATAAGATATATTTAAAAAAATTTACTAAATTTTTATAAATACCGACTCTAAAATTTTAATTCAAAAAATAAAATATACGTTTTTAACCATCAAACCAATTTATCAAAATTACTAGGAACAAAATCAAGTCAATATTCACATTCGGTAAAAAAAACTCTAAGTAATCCTAGCATTGTTATTTTGGTAACTCAATCAAGATTTTTTTTTAGAAATTGAATTGATAATTTAGTCTAAGAAATAGTTTTATAAAGTATTAGTTATCATTTATAGATAATTATTCATTTGGTTTCAAAAGATTAATGTTGGAATAATTTGTACCTAATTATTCATTACAATTATCAACAAAATTTTATAACTGATTAGAATTATAAATTTTTAATTTAGTTGTAAATTAATAGTCTTGGGAAAATAATATATTTATTAATAAATTAATTGATTTCAAATTTTTTACAAAAAAATTACAGTCTTGTAATAATAATTTTCAATCATTTAAGTATAATTTAGATGGTGCTTGAGATAATGGTAAAAAAATGGAGATAAATTATTAAAATATTTATTATAAAAATAATTTTAAGGTGTAAAAATAGTTTTTAAGAATATTTAATGTATCTATAAATCAAAAAATCAAATATTAGTAGAAATAGAGAAAAAAATAATTAAATAATTGATAAGGAATATTAAAAAGTAATTTGATATATTTTAAATAAAAAGAAGATAGAGAAAAAAATTGTTAAATATATCGAGAGAGAGGTAACTAACGCGAGAGCGAGACAACTCGTGAAAAGGAAAATGTTTTCCTCTTTCTTAATTGGGAAAATATTTTTTTTCAAAAATACTTTATCATTTTTTGTTGACTTTTTTTCTTAATACAAAATAAACATTGAAAAATGGGAAAAACAAATTCCCGAAACTTGTTTTCCCCCAAACAAACACAGACCTTAACTCGTTTAGCATTTAAAATTTAGTACTTAATAGATTCAGCACTTAATTTTCAATTTTTTCAAACACCACCTAAGTTTTTGAGTGTTACAATTTTTGTGAAGACAAAAAAAGAAAAAAAGAAAAAAAAAGGTTTGGATTCGTAAGTTGTATTCCCATTGTACTCATCATTAAAATTGTTTTGATTGGTCCATGTGTAAAATAAAATAACTATTTAGTTAAATATTATTTGATTGGTTGCTATTATATTGGCTATAAAGTAGGAAATAAAAGACTTCTATCTCTCAAAATTAGGATTTTTCCTACGTGTTTAAATAAGAAAGTTTGTTGCAATCCTTTTAATCAAAGTATTTTTTCTGGATTTTCCATTAATAAAAAAATCTAAGACGTAAAATAATGATTTGGACCTAAAAAAAAGAAAGAAAGAAAATTGTTGGTGATGTTAGTTCATTAAAAAAAAAAAATTTAGGAAATTCAAATAGATTGTGGGATTTATAATTATCTAAATTGGTGAAATCTCTCCTAAATTTTAATCTATTTGAAAATCAGTTATTGAACTTTTAATTTCAGATGTGATCTCTTCTGAATTTTGTTTTATTTTTTTAGATTTTGTTCATTCTTTAGTTTTCTATAAAAAAAAATAAAGGTCACATAAATAGCCTAGTGACGGAAATCATTTAGTAAGATTTATCTTGGATTTTACAAAAATTTTGAAAATCATTCTGGATTATTTTTTATTTTTTACAATTTTTTTTTATATTTTTCATGTTAAGAAAAAAAAAACTTTCTGACTTTGAAAAATTCTGTGATCTTTTCAAAGAATGAATTAGATTTTTTTTCTTTCAACGTGTGTGCAAATCAATTCAAAATACTAAGAATTAAAATTTTTCTCAAGTAGTGGGAGTGATAACTAAAAATCATAAGATAAACTAAATCTCAATAAAATAAAATAAGAGTGCAAGAGAGGTCAAACATGAAATTAGAAATTCAAATATTGATTTTTAAATGAATTAAAGTTCAGGAAAAGTTTTACTCATTTAGCGTCATGGATGCTTATATAAATAAGTATAATTTCGATGTCAATTAGGAAAAGTATTTTAAACCTTTTTTTAGTGTTTAATATCTATTACTAAAGCCCATCATATTATCTTGACTACAATTAGTAATATACTTTATTCACATATAACATTATTAAAATGTTAAGTGAAATTCATTTCGGTGAAAATTAAAGTAGATATCTAAAGACATTTTAAATTATCATTCTATCATGTTGGAACAAGCCAAGGGAGTTTAAATTCAGTAGAAACTTCAAAATAAATAAATAAAAAAATCTAAAATTATTGGATAGTTTGTGTTGTTATACATAGAGATCACAAACACAATAGTGGTTTAGAAAGAAAAAGAAGAGAGAGTATACTTTAAAGTAGATTGAAAGAATAGCACAATTATATACAGCTTGGTAAAAGTAGATTAATTAAATATTACTCCTTTGTTATTGATAATTATAACATAATATACGTTGAAAGTTGATTTTATTGTATAATAAGTATATCATTATATACAAGAGTGCCCATATCAATAATTGTAACGAGTATCCATTTAAAATAGAAATTTGTAGATGAGATTGGCTACCGAATACTATATTCCAATTCAACAAGAATGCCATCTGACAATAGAATGCCAAATTTCACAAATGCTCAGTTCTTGTTTTTCCAACGCAAGAAACGGAAATTATCATCGCTCCAAAAGCTTATGGCGTGAAAAATTTCGTAAACTCTAAACCTAGCAACTAAAGGATGAAGAACCGACAAAACCTTCTATCAATATTACTGATATGTGAAATCCCAATTCAATCTCATGTCCCCACGGGACAAGTATAACTATGGACAGGATACACAAAACGTGGCACAGAAACTCAGCGCACCACTTTTAAGCAAAAGATTTTCTAAGAGTTGAATCTCAGGGCCAAGTGAGATGCAAAGGAAGGGGATGAAAGGGTGAGGGCAAAAAAAGTCACCCCTTTGAAGTCCGAGAGAGGTATGCCTGTTCAGCATCTGCAAGACGTTTCCGAAATAAAGACCACTCCTTTTTGCATCTTTCTCTCACCTGAAGTGGAAAAGGAAATTTAGAAAAAGAAAGAACAGAGAGAGAGAGAGAGAGAGAGAGAGAGAGAGAGATTGGGCCAACATATACATAATTCAAATGCAAAAGTGGACACACTCATTTTGCTAAAGACACATACCCCTTCCCATGGAGCTTTTCCCCTCTCTGACTTCCCCTGAACATTTAATTGAAAATTCCAGGATTGTTAGATGACAAAAATGAGATACACTTGACAAGGAGAAGATAAAAGTAAATAAATGTAACTGATTATACTGTCATCTATCTATACACACAAGGAGAAAAGGCAGATTATATTAGAAATATAATCCAAAAACTTATATTATAGGAACAGAATAAAGGCTCAATTGGCTGCCCGCTACAGTCTCTTCAAAATTCTCAAGAGGCATGACATCGGCTTTCAAGCAGTTAGTGGTTTTGATTGCAGAGTACCATTATGCATTTTCACTTCAAAATAAGGTTTCACCACTATAACGCACATAACTAAATTAACCACTAGAGACTCATAAACCAGATTTCAGGGCTCAAAAATAGTAAAAAGTGGCTCAATAGGCACACATCCATGATATAAAACTTTTTATCTACAACTCCATAACAAATTGCAAACGAACAATGACTCACCTGGCTGCCAAGAGAAGGAATTACTTGATGAATAATCCACTGTGAATCAACCACTCCAATTTTTTCATGTGCAGGCTGTTGTGGGAATGAAAAAGAATTAAATGTCATCTCAAAATGACGGTAATAACTGTCTAAAATATCAGAGCTTTTGATTTTTAGAAAGAGGGAACAACAAACTAGCTTGGATCTTGGGTGGTGAACGTAAAATTGGTGTCATTTAGCGAATTAGAAAATCCCAACTTCTGGGGTTACATACGAACAAGTTTTCTCACACAAGGCTTATAAAAAGCCACTTAGAGGAAGTATGTTATGATTATTAAACATAATAAGAACCCACATCTGTTTTAATATGTGCAAGAGAGGGGGAAAGTGGGAGTCAGTGGTCATTTTTGGCATTCAAATTCTTTAACTGTCTCTTGCATGGGTTTTTGGAAGAAACTATGTCCAATACCCTTAAGTCTTGACATTGCCATCCACATACTGATGCCTTGCCTGTGTGTGAGTGAATATAACAGAGAAACGAAATACCCTTAAAAGATAAATGAAATACCCTTTAATGTCTTGTATGTGTCTGAATATAAAAGAACCAAATACCTTGCGTACATCATATAGAAATAATATTTGACAAGAATTGTTGCTTTTAAAAAACCAACACTTATTTTGAAGAAAGATAATATGCTGGGTTTCAAGTGTTATTGTGCACTCAATAAGAGGTAGAAGGTCAAAACACTAAATACGCCTTCATGGAAAGTTTGATCCAAGTCTATGCCATACCACAAACAAATGTCATCAGCATGGTAGTTGACATATTCTACACATGAAAATTCACAAGAAAGTAGTTGAAACATAGTTTTCCATCAATTACAAAAAAGTAAGGGAAACAATTGATGAAAATCACTGACCTCTACACATTTTCTGAGAGCAAAATCCAACCCCCATCCGTGCACCAAATCATTCTACAAGCATACAGTAAAAACATTACTTTAAAAGTAGCTGAAAAATAAAAATAAAATACACAGAAAAAGATTATTTAAAGACAGGCTGATGGAAATACTATGCGCATGCTCCTTATCTCATTCTATCTTCCACTTACTCCTACAATTGTGAATAGAGAGTTTCATCCTTAAAAGATATGGACAACTTGTCAAATTTCCAAGATTACAATAATGCATGTTGATCCACATGTGCATGTAATTATGCAAACAATTATAGATAACCTAGTATCCCAATCTTAGAACATATAGTACCTGAATCATATGCCACACACAGCGCCAAGCCTCACGAGAGAATACAGGGGCCATGATTTCCACAAAGCTGAAAGAACATACATAATTAAATATCACACAGGCACACACACTCACTCACAGAGAGAGAGAGAGAGAGAAAGCGCATACGCAGCACATGGAGGCAAATGTGGGTCACTACACCAGCCTGGTTTCTCCTTTGTATCCCTGTTCATCACAGACAAACTCTTTATAAAAAAGCTAAAAAGAAAAAATTAAAATCACAATAAGACCATCCTGATCCAATTTAACACACACACACACTCACAGAGAGGGAGGGAGGGAGGGAGGCAGGGAGAGAGAGAGAGAGAGCGTACTTGTGAACTTCTCGATCACCTCTTCTCTTCGTCATCTGCCATGTAAGTCCATTATTAGGTTCAAGGCCTGGTTGAGAGATCTCCAGACCATGTTTCTTGACCAATTCTATATACCTAAAAATTTGTATAAACAAATGAAAAGAGACATGTACTGTTAAATTTGACAGAAAATAAAAATTGACAGGGAGAACTTACTTCTCTCCATTAAAATGTTCCACTCCAAGATCTTCATCCCATATAAAAATATATTCATAAGCTCCAACTATATCAGGATGCAAAAACCTTTTTGCATACCACCTGTAAAACATATGCAGGTATTAATGACTGAGCAGACTACAAAATTATCAGCTAACTGTATGGGAATAAGTTTCAGCATCCTCACAGTTACAATGGTTACTAACTCTGCTGAAGGGTGCATTAATGAATATGAGATGTAGTCTGTGTTTAAAAGTTCTTTAAATAGCAGAAAGCCATAAACTTTTACCATTTTGTTTGTCTTGTCACGCTAACATGGATTGCACTTTTTGACCACTCAAACTGGTCCCATTCGCTTGTCCGACCATCATAGTGGAAAAGCAAAATTTGGAAATCATCAGAAAACTATCACAGAATTCAAGAAAACAAGGCTCAGTATCCATGGAAATAAGAACATTTTAAAAAACAAAGACTTATGCAATGATCTTTCTGTATACCTTTTTAACTGCTGCATTAATGTTATTCCTCTGATCATAACCAACTGTAAATGTTAATAAATACTTTGGCTTCTTCTGTATATCCTGCAAATTTCACTTGCTATTAGAATCTATTTCCGTGTTAATGACATCATTAATGGGAAATTACATTCAGTATTCTACGATTTAAGTTTTTATATTTGACAGTATGGTCCAGAGCTTATATATTACATTTTAGATCTACAATTTTGAACATTATTACATGGTTTGTAATTGATCTAGTGTTATGATTTTATAGATCCTCTGTTGATCTCAAATAAAGAGCAAGTTTGACAACTTTTAGAACCGTTATGACTAAATGGTTCGTATTGAACAAATTCTCACTAAAAGTTGGTCATTCATGGTTCATCCATTTTGAAAGCAAATGGCCTATGGAGTGTATAACTGCAGATTCCAGTTGCTTTCATTTTATTTTAATGCGTTACAGGACATCTGCTTATATATACACACTAGAAGAATAATTGCTACAAAATCCAACATTCAAATGGCCACTACCTATTCTGTTACAGATTACTTCAGCTAAATTCAATGTTACTAGTTAGAAATGAGTCAACAACACAAAGATAATCTACTTGTTACTGCAATCAATTAAAATGAAAAAACTAGAATGTTATCTTTTTATTCACGATTTGTAAATATACCTCACTAGGTTCACCCCATAATCTTCGCAAGTACAAGTCTGATTCAGCCACAACAATTCCTGGAGGTAATAACTCCGCACCACGAGGATTTGTTGGAACATAAATCTGAGAACGAACAAACAAGGCACAAACATATCATAGGGTGAACATGAAATGACGAAAAAGAATGAGCAGTTAAGCAACATAGGTACATACCTTAGTGACATTGCTGCTTGATCCAAGAGTTTCAAGTGACGTGCTTCTTCTAAATTCATTCTGATTTGCAATGGATATATCAAGCGATGGTGTAAAGCTTGAAGGTATGTGAATCTGCATTAGAGAAAACTAAGAAAACCAAATGGACTACACGCTTCTCTCGAAATAAACAAGCAGGCCAGGAGTAGAGTGGTCAACGAACCTTTGTAAAAGTAAAAGATGGAAACGAAATACCAACAAAAAATCCAAAAACAACTCCGATGATTGTCACAAAAATGAGTCTGGCACTATCATTTGGTTTCCTATTAACTCCACTGCAGGAGAAACCACCGAAGATTAACAAAACCAACCTAGATTAGCAAGCTAATCATAACAGCTACATCAACATCGTAATAATCCAAACCTGCGATGTATTGTCCCCATCTTGGTACGTCTTTCGACAGTCAAATCTAGAACAAAAAGAAATCAGATGCCGAGTAAAAAGTAACCACATTCACATCCTCCACCACATTTTCTGAATCAAACTATGGCCTTTCTTCGATTTCAACAAGATAGAAGAAAAATGATGTTCGATAACGCCAGCCTGACTGACAAATATGATTCTTCCAGCTTCAACCCAACCAACCAACCAACCAACCACCACACTTGATAACTAAAATCACATAAATAATACACACATCATTAATTAATTTAATTTCTTCTTCCTTTTTCTTTCAAATCACGTAATTTAAATTCTACAGACAATTATCAAATTTAATTAAAACAAAATGGAGAGAAAAGTCAAAATCAGAATTCGAAATAACTAATCATTTCTCAATATCAGTAAATTTATAAAATAAAATTCTAATAAAGGTTTTAGGATTCGAAACTTACACGATTTAATTTTATTGATGAAATGCAGAATTTTGAGAGAGAGAGAAGATGGGCGAGATATTTATACAGAGAAAGATTTGAGGAGATTTGGAGAGAGTTGGTAACCTAGTCGAGTTAAAGTTTATCAAAACTGAAAAGAAAATAAATAAACTGTTTTTTTTTTTTTTTTGTTCGTGTGACAATATTGCCCCGCCTTCTTTTTTTGAATTTCCTTTCCTAATTGAGATAGTTACGTTGCTGTTCTCTTATATCTATTGACAGCTCTAAATATTGTGCCACGTGTTATTGCTCTTTTGTTTTTTCAACACCTCTAACAAACTTGCTTCTCTTTCTTGTTAAGACGAGGTCAATGGGCCTCAGCATTAAACAATCTGGTTTTTCAAATTGATTTAAAATTAGACACCATCTAACTTTGATTTAATTTAGAAAAATAGTAGATTTAATTTCAATTAACATGAATGTTGTTCTTAAAATACCCACTAACTATAATAATAATATTAACAAAAAGGAAAGTTCTGTAGAATGTAAGTTTTTTTTTTTTTTTAAGTGTTGACTCTTATAGTAAGAGATGATATTTTCTATTTTGTTTTTTTGAATTTGAATATATGTAAACAAAAAGTGTAAGAAAGAAATTTCCTCCTGATACACTAACTACGATTGTATTTTTTTAAGATTTAATCTAAAAAAGGATAGATTTAATACGATTGTATTTTTTTTAAGATTTAATCTAAAAAAAGGATAGATTTAATCTGAATTAATTCAAAAGCTAGTCCAAAAATATTCATTAGCTGTAATATACATCAGAAAAAGAAAGAAAGAATTAAATTCCTTAAAATGGAAGTTGTTCAGAAATTTGATCAAAAGATAGTTTAATAATAATTAATACTTCAACAACCTTTGATGTGTTGACTCTTATGATAAATGATGTTGTTTCCTACATTATTTTCTTGGTATGAATAAAAAAAATTGTAAAAAAGAAATTTCCTTCAAATATACTAATTTAAATATGAATACATTGCTTAAGATCCAATTAAAAAAAGACTGAGTGTCAGTGAGGGGAAAAAAACGCTAAAAGCACCTAACCTATAAACTTGCAAAAATTAGTTGTGTGCGCTTATTAACATCATTATTCATTATTTATTTGTTTTTTAAGTTCTTAAAAAGAATATGGCATGCCATGACCATCTCATAAAACTATAATAATTTTATGAGATGCAAACTTTCCTGATGTTTTTATTTTTTTCTGTGAATATAATCACTTTGGTCCAATATTTTTTATAAAGTAAATGTCTCATGAAATCTTTTCGTATTTAAAAAAAAAAAAAACTCAGTTGAGATATACGTTATAGAGACTAATTTGAAGATTATTTTTAACAAAATAGCTGGTCATAAGCTACTTTTCATCGTGCATTTATGTCAATTTTAAGTTACTAAAGAATTATAACCACCTAAATAGATAAGTTTAAATCTAATAAAACTCTAGATTTGATCGTATTAGCGGTTATCTATTTTTTATTTTTGTTTACTTTAATATTTATTGAATATTTTTAATGAATGTTTTATTGAAATGGATGATAAAAAAAAATACCTGCTTTATTTGTCATCCCTGAATAAATACAATAAGATTAGTTAGCTACACTAACTATTTTTTGTCCGTGTATCCTATCTCATCAACTTATGTTTTGACATCAGCTATTATTATTGTATTTACATAAAATGACTACAAACAAAACATGTTCATAATATTAGTTTTTTTTTTACAAAGGATAGGTTTCAATTTCAGGATTTTTTTTTTTTTTTTGAGAGAAAAGATATTCATATCATTTGAGTTATAATACATTCATTTTGTTAAAATGATAATTATAAATATATTTACTTCACAAATCCTTATTAGTCCAATTATGAAAGTGAGTAGTTCATTAATAATTGTAGGTTTCAAGTTTCAATCTAACTTAAAACTCGAAGTAAGTTGACTCGAAAAATATTTTTTTCCAATCATCATGCCCCAAAATGAGAGGAAGATATGGATTGGAAGACCTCCATGGGAGGAAACAAATTAATTCTCCACGTTTGTTTTGATCTTCAATTAAATTCCTAGAGTATTATTTTTTCTAATTGGGGCCTCAAAGCACCATCAATTCTCTGTGAAATTCTTCTTCTTATTCGTTTCTTCTTCTTTTTTTTTTTTAATATATCGATGGCCCTTAATTCTAGTAGAGAGTTCATCAAAAATTCGATATTGCTTACATGGCATTGCCACGTCTAGATATTCGAAGAATAAAAACTCTTAGAGACTCAACTAAGAATCACAATCTAATGGAACAAATTAGAGATTTGCTATCTGAAGTTTAATTTGGGACAGATGGTGTCGAGTGTTGAAATTCAAACGGATTTTGTCTACACAAATTGATGGAGGGTTTTGATTTAGAATTGTTGAGCTTTCAAGGACCCTAATTAGGAAAAGGCATTCTTTGGAAACTCAACTGAGAATTGCTACCTAATTGGGGGTCTAATCAGAGACCGACTCCCTCCCCAAATCTAATTACTTGATGAAATTCCTCTTGTTTGAAGAAAAAACAAAAAAAAAATCATCGTGTTATAAAATTGAGGAGTTAATTATAGCTTAGTTTTTGTAGTTTATCAAATCTAATTAATTATAGTTAAATAATTTATTAACTAGTTTCGAACATCCCAATTAAGTTTTTATTCTAAAAATACCTTCTTTATTATTTGAAATTTTTGCCTTTGCCTATTCAAAAGTTGTATATTTTTTTTCAAACAATAAAAGATGTCAAACCATGTCTCATTTATCAATAGAATTTACATGATGGTGTGATTTTGTTGATAAAATACATCTGAAAAATATATAATCAACATAGCAATCTCAACAACAAGCATTCATTAATTTAATAAGAAGAGGAAAAAACTCCAGCATTCATTAAAGCGAAATACTTTAACTTTATTTACAACTGGTTAATTTGCTTTTTATGCAAAACCAGCACGTAAACTACGGATCAAGATAAATTTTATATTGTTCATTATTATTATTTTATAACAATAAAGTGTTGTTTGATAACAAGAAAAAGAAAGATGGAGATGAAAATAAAAGCTTTATTTTAGTTTTATTTGTTGGTATTTGGTTAAAAAAATAAAGCACAAATAAAAATGAAAATTAAACATAATTTTATTCTAATGGAAGAAAATGACATTTCTTTTTCTTCAAAATTATTTTATTTGTTATTATTATTTAGTTACCATTTTTATTGTACCACTATCACCATCATTATTTTTATTATATCACTACCGCTATTTTTTTTCCACCACCACATCATATGTTAGTGACATTAATTTTTTAAAAATATATCATCACCGTTACTATTGTGATCACCTCCTCCTCCTCTATCATTGCCATCACCACTTCGATTACTTATATTATTTTTACTACTATTATAATTGATAAAATTATTATTTTAATAATTATTCTTAATTGTTTTAAAAATTGAATATTAAAAATTTTAAATTTCACTCAATTCTTTATTATTATTTCAAATGTAGTACTGAAATAAAAATATTTTTTCAATTTCTTAATTTTTATTTTGATTTCGGTATTTTTTATTTTGGATATTTCATTTATGGTAACTAAACTATGTTCAATGGAAATCAGTTTAAGAAATTTTAAACAATTTGGACTTTTACTCTTAACAACTTTTTACTGTGGTCCTTCCACTCTTAATTTTATTATGTCCATTCATTTAATCTTCATCCATTAAGAATGGGGTCCTTTATAGATATATTTTTTATTAATTGGATAAATGTGTCTTTAACACAAAAAATCCAAAAAAAAAATGTATGGGATTTGAATTAATGGAAAATAATAAAATTAGTGACGAGCGACTACATGATCAAGAGACAAATTGAAGAACCACATTATGGAAATTTTAAGAGTAGAGGAAGGAAATATCTCAAGAGAATCTCATTAGTTACTGATGAAAGGAAATGATAAAAAAAAAAAAAGTAAGAAGATTTGCAGTAAATAAAGAGAACATAATTTTATTGTTTTCTTGTTTTGAAGACAATTAATCATGAAAGCCACTTTTGGCTTTATAAAATTACACATCATTTTCCTCAACAAGAATTCTGTTCCCCATCCCTTCAATTAGTTGGGAAATCCAATCAAGGAAGAAGCTGCTGTCCACCTTGGAATCCAACTATTTCCTCCACTTGATAGCTCCAATAATATTAACGTGTATGGACAAAATAAAAAATTAAGAAAAATATTACAAGAAACAAATGTTTCAAAAGAACAAAGAATAATATCAATCAATCACAAAAATCTCCAGTCATCAGAATTTTGCGCATCGCATAGGTAGACCCGTTTGATGATCCACACTCACAATTTCTGTGGCGTTGTTGCATCTGAGTACATCTTGACCCAACTTACCTCCAGCTGCCTTTAGACCCTTGAGTGAAACAGGTTGGTTGAACAAGTTAAGCGATGGCAATTTTGATGCTGGAGGCAACTTACCATTAGGCAAGAAGTATCTAAAATC